TCCTTACTCAAAGAGAATTTTTTTTTTTTGTCAAGTGGTTAAAAAAATCAATCTATATGTTCTCCCACTTATCTAGGCTTAAAGTTATTTTTTGCTGAGTGGTGCAAATGGAAAATGGACATTTGCTTCTGGCACTGTGACCTTCTCCAGGCCCTGTCCACACTGCCCTCTCTGATTCAGTGTATTTCTGGAACACACTTGTGATACAACCAGCAACAGTTCTCCATAAACACTCAACTTGACAGCAAATGAGAGTTAAAAAAAAAAAGTCTCTCTTTCTCATTAATGAAGAGTGCCACAGTACAAACACATTTCCTTTTTTTTGTAAGATGAATTTTAAAAAAGAGATTAATTATCTTTAAAAGATGGGGTACAGCTCAGCCCTGTTATTTTCCTTCTGGCTATACACATGAATACACTAATTTTTGTTTTAAAGCCAATAGAGTTCTTAAATATTATGAACTATTGCTGATTTTTAAAAATAAATCTATAGCTGGTCCATACATTTTCCAACTAAGACACAGCATCAAACCTCCATATATTTAAGAAAGCTATGTATACCTGTATACATACACACTTATACACATACACACGGATCCAACCACACACTTACCCACAGATGACTAGACCATTTGAGATATGTTGGTAGGGGATGGGGGAAAGGGGCTGGGGAGGACTTTTTTTTTTTTTTTTTTTACAATAGGCACGCATAATATTTACTGAACAAGACATTTTGCTCTGTATTTTTTTTTTTTAATCTGGGGGGAATCATTTTATTTAGGCTTTCTATGGCATGGGTTACTCAGTTCACAGCAGAGGCACCTGCAGCAAATTAATTTGTTGTAGCACATTAATTATCTCATAGCTTCTATTTAGGCTGCAGCTGTTGCTATTATGTTAATAATATTTTTTATCACCACTGTATACAACAGGTTATGGCAATAATAGAAATCCCTCTCTTTTTTTTTTGCCCCCCCCCCCCCTGTTGTTTCTATGTTTCTGTGTCAGAAGGGAAGGCTGGAAGAAATTTAGGCAAATTAAGCCCCACAGCACACTATAATTTTCTATTTCTGAACCGATTTGTGAGAGAATGGGTAACTGAAATTAGCAAAGAATCACCCCACACAAAGATGGCGCGTGCAGAATTTGTGAGAGCGAAAAAGACGAAGGAGAAGCAACAGAGGGACGGAATACTGCAGTGCTGGGGTGGTGAGTGTTTGGATGGGGGCGGGGAAAATGCTGCAGTTTTCATGAAATAATAAGGTGGGGGAAAAAAGGCATACAAAGAGTAGGTTTTTCATTGTTTGTAAAATATAAACACAGATGAATTCTGTCTTTGGTTTGTTCATGCTTTTCACTCTGCACAGCAGGGATGTTCTTAAGAAGTTGCCCTCTGCGAAATTTCACTAAATGGGAACCGTGGACCCTGCATGATGGGATTATAATCACACCAGCCACTCCTTTTACATAATTTTTTGTTTAAGATCCAGTAAGACTCCCTGTTTTTAATATATATAAAGCGATAGACCTGGATATGTCGATAAACTGAGGGTTTGCGTCCCTATAGCCTAAGTGCAAGCTAAAACAAAAAACCCGGTGGTATCACATCTACAAATCTCAATGGATTCAAAAACAATATGAAAATTTTTTTAGCTGACAAGAACATGTCTGCTGCCTGCAGTCCCTGCAATAGCTCACCATGTTGCCTACTAACCGAAAGATCAAAAATTATCGATTTCATGGCGCTGCGTGCTCTGGAAAGGAAAAGCTACTTTAAAATTTGCATTGTTTAAGAAATGAGTTAAAAGAAAAGAATTATTTTCTTTTTCCTGAACAGTTTGGAATGTGAAAATGGCATGTTATAATCTTATCCATGATTTACTATTAATTCTATTATTTTTAGCAGCTGGAGTCCAGAAATGATTTTTTTCGATGAATTTAGGATTTTGCCGCAGTATACATCTGCAGTCCCAGAATCCTCCGGTAAGTTAATCCTTCTTTCGATGGGAAACGCCTTTAACCTTCTTGTGAATGAAATATCTGCAACCATTTTGAAATTTTTAATAGAGGAGGGTGTGTGTATATGTGTGTGTTTGTGTGTGTGGGGGGTTATGTCTCCAAAGCATGATTTTATAGCAATGCAGCGGTATTTGTCTTAGTTCTTAGAAACATTGAGAAACACCTTTGTGCTCTTTGAATATCATGGATGATGTCTCCATTGCTTCTCCTTATACTTTCTATCTATGGTAGCATTAGAAAGTACTTCCTTAGTATGGCAAAGACTGTTGTGTCAAACTAGTGAAGGCCTGCAGAACACATAACTCCAAGCACGAAAAGTGTGCCTGGCACATCTGAAGCGGCCATGAACATAACTACCACGGCTGCTGGCACGCCACCACCATGGCCATCGCCTCCCACCACCTTCACTGCCCCTCCCTCGTTCCGCACTGCACACCAGACACAATCTTTCCACAGTGACTTTCTGCCGAATTTGCCCACTGGGTTCCTAGATGACTTCTGTGTGCAAGAATAGCCAACCATGTAGTCTGACATGAGGTATTTACTTAGCCTGTTCAGCTGGAAAGAAATCAAAAGATAACACTGAAGTCTGAGATGATGGATTGCAAATCAAAAGCCCCCATCCATAAAGAGCCCACTTGATGAACTGCTAAATGAAAAGGCTGATTCTGACTTTTGTCCAGTCTTTGCAGGTTGTCTGAAAAGAAAAAAATTTCAGCCAGCCTTCTTAGAGAGTTGGCATTCATTGTTTATAAACGTATGGAATATTATTTCGTCTTACCTTTCTGCGGGGAGAGGATTCTTCCCAAGGAGATTCAGATTGTCCAGAAGAGACCACACCCTCGGTTCACTGTTTTCTACTGTTTCTTTTCAAGGAGGGCTTATTAACAATCACAATTATACATTCATTTAGGGGTCCTCATCAAAAGGAGCCAGGCATCCATTTCTTTCTCTCTAAAGGAAGCTCATTGTTTTAGCGTTCAATAAATGTTTAATTAGTGGATCTGATAGATTTAACCATCTTGAAAAGTAAACGGGCCTTCTTGACAATGTCGCCTTGATCAGCATTCCTGTCCGAAGTGCAAAAACAATCTGGGCATTTATTTCTTTGCCTAAAAGGTGATTCAGAGGCATATATTTTAGTGAAGGGACGCTGTACCTTCCTTCAGCTTTCATGGAGCCACTGCTGGGTGTGCCAACGGTCTGATATCATGACAAGCAATACTTTCTCTGTTAAACCAGCTGGAGACCCTTTTGGTTTCTAGGAACACAGCCTGAAATTTAGGACCATTTGTCCTCTGCAGTTTCACAAAATGGATTAATTTACGTCAAACTCAAGTGGCTGGCTCTGGAAGGAAAATGTGTAAGAAGATAGCCAAGTATTTTTTATGAATGTATGACCCAAGTTCAGTTGTTAAACATCATTTTTACAAAATCATTTCACCAACTCCTCAGGTATTTTGATGCTTGTATTTCTTGTTGGTTTAATGATAATATTTGTCTTCATTTCAGAGAAGCTATTCATCTCATATTTTTGGTGAGACAATTGGAACAATTTCTATTTGGGGGGGATAAGCAAATAAAATTCAGAGCAATTTGTTAAATTCAACTAATTTGTCTGAGTGCTAGTTACCCAGTAGTTCTTCAGTACACTTAAATGTAATGCAAAAAATAGCTTGCTGCATTGTTGCAAAATTTTATATTTCCTTTACTAACATGTGTTTGCTTAAAGTATTACTAGGGATTTTAAATATTAATTATAAATTTAGATTAAGATATCTAAATTATAGACAAATGCTTCAATTATTTTGTCATCTAAAAAGAGAAATATGAATATAGGAGAGTTTTTATCCTTTAGGTGTTCTAATGGTGTAAATATTTCTTAATCAGTTTTAACGGTGTGCCTTGTTCAGCAAAACAAAAAGCAAAAACTGAACACAGAAAAAGGAAACCTCTGTTAAAAAATTAATATTTATTAGTCATCTGATTTTACATGTATGACTTTAATCAACTGCATATTCTTTAACTCCATATATGAAGATTAAAATTGGGGACCAGTACCTGAAAAATGACATGGATACTTTGAAGTTTATATTAGAAACACTGCTTTGATGAAGTATCTTTTTCTGCTCAATCTGTTCAAATTATGACCAGATGATTGACCACAACCATCCTCTACTCTTAATTCTACAGAACTACTAGCAAAGACACAAATGAGAAAGTCACTGTAGACAATGGAGCTCACTGTACATCATTTGAGTCTTCGGACTTTTTCCACTGCAGGGGCCCACTACAGCTATGGTGATAGACAGCAGTTCATATTATCACTGGTATATTGTAAAATATCATTAAGACAGGGGGAAAATTGAATTTTTAAAGAACATGTTGGCCCTGAAGCATTAGCTATGCCTAAAACTGCACAAGCTACTCCACAATTGAATGAGAGGGTTTCCTGCCGTACCTATGTATAAAGACCTATTGTTTGCATGCATTAATTACAAGGATAAAAGCCTCAAGATAACTTTCACTGTTGCTTTTGGTACTCTCTCCATTGTTTTGGAGGAAAAATAACCATCTAACAATAGACTAGAGAAAGTGAACCGATCATAATTGTTTCAACTTTGACCGATTACAATGGAGATATTTTCAAGGGAAAAGACCCAACTCCAGCCTATTCAGACGAATTAGAAAATTTTTTGAAGAAGAGAAAATGAATTTTTAAAAATTCGAAGCTGCCTAATGTATAGCTCTTTCCATAAACAACGAACTTGGATTTCTCGAATAAGTAATACCCTAGAAATGAACTTAGAATGAAAGAAAAATCCTCCCCCCCCCATATGTTGATACTTAGTAGCAAAGTGGAACCAGTTAAAAATGGAATCTGTAAGAATTAACCTAGTTGACAGGGCTGTGGAGTTAGTTTATGTCTATCAGTCATATTTGTTCAGTTAGGGACTCCTAAGGACTTGTTGAATTGCGGGCTAGGCGCCTATCCTAACGAGAGTTCGCAGCCTTCGCGAGCGGGGAAAGCCGGCGGCTCGGCCGGGTACTTCATTCCCAGATTCAAGATGAACAGCCGGTAGGGATGCGAGATCCACGATCCGGACCGTGGGGGGCTCTGGGGTGATGTGCGGCTCGGCTGCGAGCCAAGTCCTGCAGAGAGCTTGGGGCCCAGACCTCAACGACAGCGGAAGCACGAACGCGCCGGGGTCCCCTGACCTGGAGCAGGGCGGCGGCGCCCGGCAGAGTCCAGAGCCGGTGGGCCTAGACCTCAGCTCCGGCATCGCCGCCGACGCCCCGGCCCTGAAGTTTCACCCTCCCGGGACGTGTGCCGCCTGCCCCTCAGGGCCGGGGTCCCGATGCCGCCTCCCGCGGGTAGCCGGCAGCGCGCAGCCAGCACCGCATCTGTTCTCATGGCCCGGGGCATGCGCGAGGCCGGGGCGTCGGGCTCGGGACAGTGGAGAATATCGGTGTCGCCCTCCCTCCAGCCCACCCCGGCTCGCGGAGACCCGCGCCTCCCTGACTCGGACTACCGCGCCCTGGGGGGCTGCCCTCCAGTCCCGCGCGGCGGGGCAGCGCCGGCCTCAACCTGGGAGAGCGCCCGCAGAGCGCGCGGGCGCCCCGCCCCTGCCCCGGGCTGGCGGACGGTGGCGGCGGCTGCGGTGGCAGCGGGCGGCTCCGCGGCGCGGGGACTACTTTCGCCGCCCGCCCGCGCCCCGCCCCTTGTCCTCGCGCGGCGGAACGCTCCGCGCTGCGCCGCTGGCGGCAGGATACAGTGAATCCTGCGCGACTTATAAGAGCTCCTTGTGCGGCGCCATTTTAAGCCTCTCGGTCTGTGGCAGCCGCGCTAGCCCGGCCCCGGGAGCGAAGAGCGAGGGGAGGCGGAGACGGAGCAAGGTTCGAGGAGCAGCTCCGGTCCCATCGAGCCGCCAACGCAGGCCGAGACTCCCGCCGCGGGAGGAGCCTGTTCCCCTGAGGTGCTTGGGTGCTCCTTTCCTTACCCGTCTGGGGCTGCTCCCGTTCCCGCTTCGGAGCCAAACTTCGTCGCGGGCGCGCGGTCCCGGCGGCGGCTGGGAGCGGACCCGGCGCAGCCCGAGGCCCCGGGGTGGGGAGCGGGGGGCGGCGTGGGCTTTGGGGCGCCGGGGAGGTGGCAGAGGCGGACCGCGCCCGGGGGGCGGAGGGCGGCGGCCGGGCCCGGTTCCGGTTGCGCGGCTCCTTGGGGGCCCCGGGGGTGCCGCTTTCGGGGAGGGGGCGCCGCGAGGGCGCGTCCGGGAGGTCGGGTGGCCAGCGGGGTGGGCGGGTGGGCGGGTGGGTGGAGGGGGCTGTGGTTTCCGTCCCGGGCTCAGGCCGCGGCTGAGTTTGGGGGAGGGACCCTGCGCCTCGGGATGCGCCGGGGCCGGGGTGGGGGGCGGGGTGGGGACGGGGGACTCCGCCTTCACGGCCTCCGCGGGGAGTTGGGGTGCGGGCGCTGGGCCTGGGACGCCACGTGAGGTACTATCTCCAGGTTCCTTTTTTCGTGCTTAAGGATGATTTTTTTCGAGGGTTAATAAGAGGTTAGTGATTTTTAATGGCCTGCTGGTGTGAGTGCGCTCGTTTAAATCGGAGCAACTTTAAACCTTAGAGGATCCAAACTGTTAGTGCAGACGGTGCGATGCGCCAGGAGGATTTGCACAGATAAAAACCTATATCTTGCATCTATATTTTCTTGTACTGTGCAGGTGAGTGAAAGCGGGCGTGCAAGGGAGGTCCTGGGAAAAATAAGGGCGAGGGCGGCTGGCTTACTGTCTCTTATCAAGTGACCCAGAGGACTCGGCCTGAGACTGCTTCGATACTTGTGTTCCTGGAGATTCTTTATTCAAATAGTTTCACGGCAACTAAGCTTGATTTTGAGAGCACTTTCCAGCGGGGTGAATATTCCCCTCGCTACGAAATGGCCCGCAGGAAATTCGAGCGTTGCAACTTCGTTCCGTGTTTTGTCTGGAGAGAGGACTTGGAACTGAAACTTTCGAAGTTCGCTTTTCACAGCCTTCTCCTGAGTCCACTAAACTTGAAAGCTTTGCCGGGCGGGTGTAGTTGTTTGCTTCGGTTTCTTTTCCGTGTTGGAGGGAGCATTGTCTCCTACTTTGTATCTTCCAGACATCTGTGGTCTCCCCCCACCCCCACCCCGGGTTTGTGAGTGGTGAATGAAGGGAGACTGGTCTGCTGGTATGCAGAGGTCGGCAAAAGGAAATCGAGGAGTGGTTTTAGTGAAACGAGAGCTTTGTGTCGTGAATAGTGGTGGCTTAGACTAGACAGCAGCTTGAAGAGACGGCTCGCCTTTGATAAAGTCTGGGCTGCTGTTTTCAGATGGCTAAGTTAGAAAGTATTTTGTCTGGAACTTGGGAAGCCGTTTCATTCTGTCTTGGTGTGCATTCAGTTCCTTTGGCTATCTTCCTGTTAACGTGTTGTCTTAAGAGATACTGGAATAGCTTGAAAAAAATTTTTTTTAATGTTTCTGTTTAATATCTGCTTAGATTAGTGACAAACTTTTGTTTGGGAGGCATTTTTTTCGGTCTGAACTGAGGCGGCTGCTACATTTATTTTTACATTTAAGCGCACAAATCTCTGGGTTTTAAAAAAAGGTGCCGTTAATGTTTGCGAATATCTTTTCACAAAATTTGATTAACTTGCGTCCAGTATTCATTACTTTGACCTAGTCTTTGTTCTGAAGGCCATGTACAAGGCCCTAAAGTGATTGCAACAGTAACTTGAAAAACTTCCAGGAGACTATTCTATAGGATTAAAGGAATGCTGAGACTATTCAAGTCTGAAGTCCTTGAGGGGGAAATTGAAAAACTGTGCCACAAAGTTTAGTATAGCATGTAACAGAGCCCTTGCGGAGTTCTAGGCTTGAGATTTCCCCAGAAGCTAGAGCAGTCATTTAAAATTGCTTTCAAGAAAAACCAAATGTTAAAAAGTGCCTAAAAAAAGTAAAACATTTAGTAGTGTTCAAGTGTAAGTAAGTGTCCAGAAGTTTTATTTCTTTGGAAGCATATCCTTTACTAAGATAATTATGTAGGTAATTACATAGATTCCAATATTAAAACCAAATTGAGCTTCTTACTGTTACTAGTGATAAATGGGATAAAATTATCCATATAAATGAAGTTGTATATTTTTCTTTTCATAGACACTTCCCTCCTCCACTTCCCATATAGGGAGAGAAAACTTGAAGTAGGCTAATTTCTCTGAGTGTTTTGAGATTTGGTTCTTGGGAAAGCTATCTGCAGACAGCCTGTTTCGTTTTGGGAGGAGTGGAAAGAGGAGCATAAGTGTTGTTGAAACTAGGGACACGGAGAATTCAAAAATTTGAATCTCACTCTTTTATACTTGTAAGTAGCAGTGAAATTAAAATCCCAGAAATAGGTGGTTTGTAGTATTTTCAGCCAACTGAAACTTTTGTGTTATTGAAATGAAACAATACAGCATCCAGTTATAATGAGATTTTGTTTCTCTTTTATGGTTTACTAGTTGCTGATAATAACTGCAGAGGAGTAGGTGGTAAATTTTAAGTATGTACTTTGAGCTTGGTTGGAAGCGTGCTTGATTGCCAGCCCAGGGCAGAAAGGATGAATGCTTTTAGAGCAGGACAAACTTGTAATAAAAAGTATTAACAACTCTTTTGTGCTGCATGTTGACTTGTGACTTTGGTTGTGAAAACACTAGTTGTGTTGACTTGGTTGTATTCTTGTAGCTCTCTTTTTGTTGGGAATACGATATCTTTTGTTGAAACAGTTTGAGTAAAAACATTTTTATATCTTGAAAGTAAGTAGTATAACATAGACTAGTAGCTACTTCTGATTAGTCCAGAGCTTGTATCTTTTGCCTCTCGGACCTGCGTTCAGAGAAGACTGAGTTGCAGAATCAGTCCTCCTTCTTTAACAGACTGTTGTTTATGTAATACTCTTCTAATTGTGTCTTGATAGATAACTAAGCTAATGGGCTAAAATAAATATATACTTTGTAAGTTCCAGGAAAGGAAAATATGTGATTTGTATTGCTTGAAAATGAGTAGGAGATACCTTGTGTAGTTCTTGATCACTTAAACTCTGGAGAAAGTTCTTTATTTCCTCTGTTTACTTAAGAATGCTGCTTTTGTGTTGTATGCAAGTCTGAGCTTGACCAGGTTTGAAATCTAGATACTTCTGATGAGGCCTGAACCCTGTATCCCTGAAGCATGTATTTAAATCTGCTCCCTAAGGAAAAAGAAGCTTTTATGAGAGAATCAGTCATGTTAGGAACCCTTTTTAGAGATTAACTATCTTGCTAACTGTGAGCATCTTTTCTTTTAAAAGATATTATTCTCCAGCCTGAAAGTCTCCTCAAACCATTGCAGCTGAGTGACAGTAGCGTCAAGGCATGTTTTCATTGCATGCTTTGGTCACAGTGAGTGCCCTCCAGTGGATATAATGTAATGCTGATGATTTTTTTCCCCCCATAAAATTTGTGTGAAATATTTTTATGAATAGTTTTGATGTGAAAGCATCAGTCAAGAGAACTTTTGAATTCGAGAATAGGATGTTCATATTATTTTTTGCTAGTTGAAAGATTGGCTTTAGAACATGTCATCTCAGCCATTATTTTGCAGGAGAGAGGTCAAAGTTAAATCAAGAGTTAAATACTGTCACTTTTTGTAGGAAGTTCTGCTTAAATATAATTATAAACCAAGAACTTAGTATAACTTTTGAGGTAAACCATCCTAGTATCTGGGCTTCCCTGATGGCTCAAATGGTAGAGAATCCACCTGCGATGCAGCAGACCCAGGTTCAGTCCCTGGGTTGGAAAGATACCCTGTAGAAGAGAATGGCTGTCCACTCCAGTGCTCGTGCCTGGAGAATCCCATGGACCGAGGAGCCTGGCGCGCTACAACCCATAGGGTCAAAAAGAGTCAGACATGACTGAGCGACCACACTTAGACCTAGATCCTAAAATCGAGCCATATTAATGAATTCTAGAAACTAAGATTCTCAGATAAAGTTAACAAAAATGAATTATCAATTTGTCTAAAATCTCTTATACAATAAAACTGAAGTAAGTCTTCAACTTGGTTGTATTTTCAAGAACTGGTTATCAACAAAGCTGGTTGAGTCAACTTATGTAAACTCCAGAGTATAATGCCTAGTGACTACAGGCATTTGTGTAGAGTATGCATTTATATAGTGCTTTGATGCACTATTCCCGTATTTTGACCTGAAAATTCTTCAATAAAAACTTTCTCCACATTCCTATGTTACAGTTCTTGCTA